CATATGCATTAAGTGTCCTTTATATGCATTATATTGTTAAATCAAATATGAAGTCTATTGTTGGACCATATGGCATTCTAATATGATATCATTGTCCCTTAATGACTTACTTGGCCATAGCCTATATTTATTTCATTCATGACAATATATATCAACATAATTTAACATTGGACAGTTCATACCTAACATAATATTTATGTTATAACATCGTATATAAACTAATGATCAATGCATTTTATATTAACTTCTTACATATTTAAAACATGTCAAATATATGATTAATGACATAAATTTCATGTCAATATAAACAAGGTAGATTCATCGCAAGTCTTCCTAATGATGTATAAAACATCCATGTATCATGTTATGTATACATTGCACTCACATTGACATTTTTATACAAGACAAAATATAAGTCTCATTAAGCTTTAAGCTCGATCCTTTTCATTTCCTTTGTTGCTAGTTTTATCCCAGTTTTAACTGATATCTATAATTACATCAAACATATAACACAAACAATCAAAAGCATATGTTAATATACATCTAACACATGTGAATAAGTAAGGAATTTACTAAAAATATTTTAATATTTATTTGATACTAGTTATACTTCATATGATCCAAATCAACCTTAAACTCCATAATTTCACTAAAACTTCATATCACAACTTCAAATATCTCAAATTCGAGTTAAAGGGTAATTCACCTAACAACTCTAACTTTAAAGATTTCACAACTCATAGTTACACCAGTGAACTTCCATGCATATTTCCAACACTAAAAATATCACATAATTCTAGTAGTGAAACTTAACATTGACTTACACCAGTGAAATTTACGTATAATTCCAACACTGAAGATATCATATACTTACACTAGTGAAATTAACACTTAATAAAATTAACAATTATTAAATCATAAAATAAAGACAAAATGGTGCACATTAACGATTTTCTCTGGGTATACGTTAGCAAGTCTGATGGGCCTTGAGATTTTCATTGTTTCTCCAGTGGTCTTTAATTAGATTTCTTTGTTGATTATGGTGGTTAGTTCTTCTTCTTCTTGTTCTTCCTTGTTAAGTTATGAGTGACTCTTCCAAGATTGATTGGAAGCATTTATTTACGGGTACGGTTGGGCAAACTTTGGAGTGTTATCCTTAAACTGTTTGCAAAGGGGTTTCGATTGTTCAACCTCCTTTTAAGGTTTCAGAGCATGGTGTTTCATAGTGGAAACTGTCTCTGATGGGTTAGTTCATCGGGTCAAGGCCAAGTTTTAATTCTATGCAGTAAATTGTAGAGTTGCTTAGGGGGAAAATGGCTCTGGTTCAAGTTAGTCTTGCTAGTTTGAATCTTTATGTGTCCTCCTTTAATTCCGTGGCTGCTAGAGATTGGATTTTGGAGAATGGGATATGGCACATTTAGAATAAACCATTGATTCTTAGGAAGTGGGAATCAGTTTTAAGAAAACTGAATTTTGATTTTTCAAAAATATTTGTTTGGAAACACTTGTATAATATTCCTCTTGAGCTCTACTTGAGTACTGGTTGAGCTACATTGCTAGTACAATAGCTGCTCCCCTCTATATGGACTCTGTCACTGCATTTAGGAAAAGGCTAGAGTGTGCTAAAATTTGCATGGAGATAGGTGTGGGGGAAAATACCTAAGTTTGTAGATGTTATGTTAGGGGGTGGGGTGGCTATTTCCATATATGTTGCTGTGCCTTGGATGCCTCATTGTGAAAGCTATAAGGTATTTGGGCATGGTGAGAAGTTTTTTCTACAAAGTCGAAGCCTACTCCAAGTGTGACTGAAGTATGGAAAACAAAGTTTGTGAATATAAGTGGTGAGCCTGTTGATTTAGGGACTGGTTCTAAGGATGTTACTGAGGCTTATTAGGTTAAAGAGTAGGTGGATGTTCTTGAAAATATTGTTGTGGATAGTGCAAAGCTCTTTGAGGTTGAGGAGGTCACTATGAAAAGGGGTGGAAAATAACAAGTTGTTGAGTTGGATGTTGGGGATGGAGATGGAGTGATAAATGTTACTAATCAACATGACTTTCCCACCTTACAAGCTTCTATGTCTCAAAAGAAGAAGCCTCGAGGTAAGGTTAAAGATAAGAAGTTGATTGGGGGTTCCTCAAATAGATTTGAGATCCTATCTAATGTTGGGGGCATGGAGGGAGCCAGGAAGGTTTGTTTTGCTTCGTTAGGAGTGATTGCTCTTCTAAATGACATGAAAGTAAAAAAGAAAGACCAAATTGATAAGTTAGTTGTGTCTGATACTATTGGTGGAGTTGTGGGGTGTAGTGAGTCTAGTCCTTCTCAATAAATAATGTTTTCTGGCTTTTTCCACTATGGGCACACGTTAGCAGGTCTAATGGAATCTGATTTTCGTCGTGTCTCCGGTGGTTCTCATTGCTTCAGTTCCTTATTAACAAGATTTCTTTTTCGTTTCCATTTCTATAAAGTTCTCTTTCTACTTGATGGATTGGAGAAAACTGTTCGGGAGTTCCTTTGGCCAAACCTTAAATTTTTATCCCCCAAAAATTAAAGATGGGGTTCCCACGATTACTCCTCGTACTGTGATTCTTGAAGCTGGTATTTTGGAATGGAAGTTATCTCTTGTGGGAAAATTCCTGGGGTCGGCACCAAATTTCCTGACAATTCAAAGAATCGTAGAAAATCAATGGATAAAGGCTCTGCAAGGTTCACGTCTCCAGGTAAGTCTAGCTGGAAATAACCTCTACATCTTCTTTTTTACTTCAGAATCAGATAGAGATTGGGTCCTTGAAAACGGCCCTTGGCACATACTTAACAAACCACTGATTCTAAGGAAATGGGAACCCAATTTAAAACGCCTTAATTTCGATTTATCAAAAATTCCGATTTGGGTTCACTTATATAATGTCCCTCTAGAATTATTTTCTCAAGAAGGTTTAAGTTATATTGCTAGTGGAATTGGAGTTCCAATCTTAATGGATATTGTCACTACATCCAAAACCATACTAGAGTTTGCAGAGATATGTGTTGAAATTGATGTTAATGAAGAAATCCCAAAACATATTGATGTTGTTCTCCAAGGTGGTATATCTTCTTCGATTTATGTCGAGATCCCTTAGATGCCTCCAAGTTGTAGGAAATACAAGGTTTTCGGCCACAATGATAAAGGTTGCTTGGTGAAATCCAATCAAAATCCTACCTTGGAAGAAAAATGAAGATTCAAGTTCAAATTCCAATGTTGGAGGAATAGAGGTTCTGCAGGATCCTATCATTACTGGACCTTCACATAATGATGCTCCTCAAATAAATGAAACTGCCACAGAATCAAATTATACTGATAACAACGAAGAGCTAAAAGATTCTGAAGATGTTAATCAGAATAAACCTTTTGATCCTTCTGTTTTAACCGAAAATGGTAACTTAGCAACACAATCAATAGTCCCTAAACGAGGTAGAGATAGGCCTACAAAGGATAAAACTACTTTAGTTAGATCAAATAATAGGGTTAAGGTTCTCAATTCAATCAATGAAAACTCTCCTAACATTGATGGTCATCAAAGAAAAACCCGAATTGCTTCAATGGGAGTAGCTGAACTAGTTAAAGACCTCAAACAGAAAAAGAATGATAATTTGGAAAAATCCAAAAGTTCTATAGCTGGGGGTGAAGGAAACTCATTGGGAACTCTTTCCCAATGATTATATGTTTTTGGAACGTTAGAGGATTTAATAATCGTCTAAAGCAAGATGAGGTACTTCTTAGGGCAACTCAGAACAATGCAGATATATTATGATTGTTAGAGACTATAGTCAAAATAGAAAAATCCAAGGACATCTTTGAGTCTAAATTAGCTAATTGGAATGCTAGTTCCAACTATGAATATGTTGTTAATGGGAGAATATGGGTTTTTTGGAAGAAAATTTTGAACTTAACAATCTTTCATGTTTCAGATAAGATCATTTCTATTAAAGGATTGTTTATTGGAACTCCTTTTGTTATTTCAGTAGTTTATGGCAGCAACGATGGCACTATCCGTAGACAGCTTTGGCAATAGTTGCGAGATTTGGAAATAAAAATAGGTCACCTTCCTTGGATCCTGGGAGGAGACTTTGACATTACACTGCAACCGAATGAAAGCTCAGACTATGAGATCCTTTGTCCTGGATCTACCTCTGAAATGAAAAAATTTCAAGAAGTTACTTAGGATTTAGATCTTTATGACCATACCTTTTTGGGCCTTTATTTACTTGGAGTAATAAGCAAACTGGAGCTTACTTTGCAAGGAAACTTGGCAGGGTCCTCATTAATTCCAATTGGGTTAATTCTTTCCAAAAATCTTTTGTTTAATTCCTTGCTCTTGGAGTTTCAGATCACTATATGGAAATTGTTTGGCTTGCAAAAGACACTTCCACCAATCGCCCCAAGCCTTTTAAATTCTTCAATTTCTGGATACTCCATCCTAATTTCTTGAGAGAGGTTGAACAGTCTTGGCAGACTACAATTCATGGAAACCCTATGAAGATTATGTTCCTTAAACTAAAGTACCTCAAGCCATGCCTAAAGAACTTAAACAATTCTTGCTACAGTGATATCTCTACTCAGGTTAGACAAAAGAGACTTGAACTAGAACAACAACAACTTCTCTCTTTAAAAGGAGAGAATCTTTTGATAAGGAGTTGCAAATTCAAAAGATTTATTCAACCTTGAAGAAGTTAAGTTAATGTTTCTGAAGCAAAAAGATAAAGTGCAATGGATCAAGGAATGGGACAAATGCTCCAAATTCTTCCATTATGTTGTAGCTGTTAAAAATAAAAAGGACACTATCTGAATACTTGTTGATGATCAAGGATCTAGACTCGAATCCTTTGATGATATGGTTGTAGAAGTACTTTCTTTACTGATCTGATTGGGACTGGAGATCCTAGGGTCAAAGGTATTGACCAGAAGCTCCTGAAAGACATTCTAAATTATACTCTGTCACCATAATCTTCCACTAGTCTTGTCAATGAGGTTACCTCTGAAGAGATCAAAGAAGCTATCTTTGGTTAAGGCAATGACAAAGCTCCTGGCCCTGATGGATTCACTCCCTACTTCTTCAAACATTCATGGTCCATTGTTGGTGAGGATGTGGTGCTGTTGTAAAATATTTTTTTTCCAAAAGTCCTCTCTGCTTCCTGTTTTCAATGCAACTACACTTGCATTGATTCCCAAAGTTCCCAATCCTTGCAAAGTTAAATATTTCAGGCCAATATCTTGTTGCTCAGTAATTTATAAGACTATTACTAAGATATTAATCAAGAGACTGGCATGCCTCATCCTTGGAATGGTTTCACTCAACCAAACCGCATTTATAAAAGGAATGAGCATTGTTGACAACACCCTTCTTGCCCAAGAATTGGTTAAAGGCTATGGAAGGAAAACCATCTCTCCAAGATGTTCTATGAAAATTGACCTTCAAAAAACATTTGACACTCTTCACTGGAGCTTTATTTTTGCAGTTCTAAAAGCTTTAGACCTTCCCTAAAGATTCATTGGCTGGATTGAAGCATGTTTCTCTGAAGCTAGATTCTCTAAATCCTTTAATGGGAGCTTGATTGGATTCTTCAAAGGAGCAAGAGGTATTAGACAAGATGTCCCTCTTTCACCTATCCTTTTTGTTTTATCTTTGAATGTCCTATCCAGATTGTTCAATTTGGTTGCTGATAAAGGTCTTTTTAGTTACCACCCTAAATGCAAACAAATAGGGCTTACTCACTTATCCTTTGCTAATGAATTATTGATATTTTGTAAGGGAAATGTGGAGTTTGTTGCAGGAGTCATCTCTATCCTTGCTCAATTCTATGAAATGTCTGGTTTGAATCTTAATACTGGCAAATGTGTTTTCTTTATTGCTAGAATTTCAACCAGTACTATCGAGACTATAAAGCATTTTACTGGTTTCAATCTTGGATGTTTGCCTGTTCGATACCTGGGAGTTCCTCTAATTACAAGGAAGCTCTCAGAGAAAGATTGTGAAAATATTATTGAGAATATTAAATCAAGGCTAACTCTTTGGTCTAGTAAACACTTGAGCTTTGCTGGTAGACTGGAGCTCATTAGAGTTGTTCTGTTCAACATTGCCAATTATTGGTGCATGCAACTTCTTCTTCCTCAATCAATAATCAACAAGATTGAACAACTTTGTTCTCGATTCTTCTGAAAATAAACAGATAAGGCGGCTACAGGCGTGAGAGTCAGTTGGGAAAAATTTGTCAATTGAAATATGAGGGAGGTCTAGGCCTGAATAACTTAAAACTTGGAATAAAGCCTGCATAATAAAACTCATAAAGAATATCCTTACAGGAGAGGGATCATTATGGGTTGCTTGGATCAAAACTTATGTTTTGAAGGAGCATGATTTCTAGCACATTGAAAGAGGTCCCAACTTCAGTTGGAGCTTCAATAGAATCCTTAAATTACAATCAAAATCATTACCAGCACTTTCGAGTAGAACCCTTAATATAAGAGATATTTGGCAGGAGATTAAGATGAATAGGGATAAAGTTCCTTGGCATCTCTTGATTTGGTTCCCACTCCATATTCCTAAACACAGTATAATAGCATGGATGACTCTTTTAGACAGACTCCCTACTCGTGATCGACTTCAACGTATGGGAATTACAACTACTATGAATTGTGTTCTTTGCAATGCAATGATGAAAACTCGAACTCATCTATTCTTTGAATGCCCTATTGCTTCTAATTTATAGGATGCAATATTGCTTCTTAACGGGTTAAACAAATCCATTTCATTTTGGGAGGACATGATAGTTTGGGCATGTAACACTTGGAAAGGCAAGTCTCTTATTTCTACTTTTCTAAAGCTTGCATGGTGTGCTTGAATCTATGTTTTGTGGGAGGAACGTAATCGAAGAATTTTCCAAGGATGCTCAAGACCTGCCGAAGAACTCCTTATTTCCATCAAAGAATTCGTAGGTATCAATCTAAGGGGGAAAACATAAATAGGCTTTATAGTGTTAATATTTTCCTTTGTAATTCTTGGGGTATAGCTTAAACCGATCTTTTGTTTTGTAAGTAGGGTGTACATAAGGTTTTTGTGATCGGTGATTGATTTTGTAGCAGATTCTGCTTCTTTGGGTAATAAAATGAATTATCCAAAAAAATCCTCTTAAGCAAGCTAAAGTGATGTCTAGGATGGGTAAGCTGGAAATGGATGTTGTGTGCTTGATGGAGACTAACATTAGAAATCTTAACATGAATGGTTATGTTTTTAAGTTCATTGAGGATTGGTATTATTGTTTTAATTATGTTGTTTTGGAGAATAACAAGTTGTAGATTTTTTTAGAAAAAAAAAAACATATGAATTTCAGGGTGTTACATGAAGCTGATCAGTCTATGACTATTTTTGGTGATGTCAGAGGCTGTAGGGTGGTTCTTACTCATGTTTATGGGAGTAATTTTGGGATGGTGAGAAGGAACCCGTGGAGGCAGTTGAGGGGAGTTGAGGGGCTGATAGGGAGTTCTTCTTGGGTTATTTTAGACGACTTTAATATTTTTAGTTATATTGAGGAAAGTTTTGAAATATAGGGTTTTTGGGCCTTATGAATCTACTGACATGTTGGATTTCAAGGAGTGTTTAGTTGAATTGGGCCTTATGGATCACCCTTTTATGGGACCATTGTTCACTTGGTCTAACAAATAATATTAGACTTTTTAGCTTGCAAGCTGGATAGGGTCATGGTCAATGAGCAATAGTTAATTGAGTGGCCAGAGTCTTGTGTTGAATTTATGGCACAAGGGGTTTCAAAACATTGTCTTGGTTTGATAAAGTTGCAAGGGAACAATCATGCTAACAGACCCAAACCTTTTTAAGTTTTGTATATGTTTTGTGTTGGTTATTCTATTTTGTTTTTGATTGGTTGTGTGAACTTCGATTTGGGGTATTCTAGATGGGGGTGTCTTATTGTTAGTTGGATGGTAATCATGATGTAGCTTTGCTGCATCTTTTTTGAATTTTTGAATAAATATATTGCTTATAAAAAAACTAACACTTAATTTCAGCGATGAAACTTAACATAGAGGTACACGGGTGTAAGTATGACTAACTTCATAATCCAACCAATAAAATGGATCTTGAACGTTAATCATTCATTTAACTTTAAATTCAAACTTGCAACAACTCATTCAAGCATATTAATTCACTTGCTAATTAATTCCACAATCAAAATTCAATATAAAATCTAAATTCCATAATATCCCTCTTTGACCAAACCTAATATAAACTATTTTCTTCCTAAAAAATCATAAACTATTTTTCATCATCTTTTAATATAGAAATTATAAAACAACACTTAATTCAAGCCTTATATCTCATAAAATAACATAACCCTAAAACTCATAATCTTTTAAATTCAAGCAAACAAGTGACAAAATATGAATCAATTATATCAAATGATAGAGAGTTTTATGTAAAACACTTTTGTATTACATGATTTTATCTTAAATCCTAACCAAATTACTTGAAAAATCAAATAAAAAATTTTTGTCCTTAATTTGATAACTCGTGGTAGCAGAGAGAGAAAGGTGAAGAAATTTTTTTATTTGTTTTCATTTAATTAAATTATTTTTCGTTTTAATAACCAAAAAATCATTTTATTATAAAATGACCACTTAACCTTAAAATCTGATGTTCATCATCAAACCACATGTTGTCATCTTCGTCTAAAGGCTAGGGTGAATCAATGAGTTAGTAGTTGTCAATTTTGTCCTTGCAAAAATCTTTAGTTACAAACTTGTCATTTTTTATCCAATGACTTAGATTTAATATGAAAAATCAACTTAAATCTAATGGTCCATGTTAAACCCTAACATTTTAACACATGAAAAATATATTTTTTTCTCTTTCCTTACCATCTAGCAAACTTTGTTGAATTTTCGATCCGATTATCCGATTTTTGTTTGAAATTTCACACTTTATAGATTTTAACATAAACTCTGTACTAAGAATCTGAGTGGCACCAAAACATCATTATAGAAGGGAACTATTTATTTATGGACAAAATTATACACTTTTAAATTTACAATTTTAATCCTTGAACTTTTTTAAATTTATATCAAACCTAAACTTTCATTTTATTTATTTTGGTCACTAACCAATTTTTTTTTTTGGTGTTACAGTTCACCTCTAATTGAATTATATATATACGCCATGTTTTTTTTCTAATGACACTCTATTGCACAAATATTCTCTTTCTTCTGTGCCACAATTCACATGAAATATAACATTATACTTTCAACTATATTATAACTATCGTGCTTTATATTAACCTCATCATGTTATATTTTGTGATCTAAAACTCTGAAATATTCTTTGTGAATATGTAAAGAAACACGATGGTCATGCCATTTGCATTTCACAGTGCAGGACAATGAGATGCGATTTTTATGTATTATAATGTTGTATGTGCCTAAATATGAAGCATGGTTTTATTCACGGGTCTTAGTATTAAGTTTTGAAGGATTTAATTATATAAACATAATGTATTTGGTTCACTGAAATATAATAAATAAATCTAATATAAAAAATTAATATTTAATTTATTGATTGATTAATCAGAATCGAATATCGTAAAGGTTTATAATAAAAGTACTCTTCCAAATCTAACTTATTTTATTTACAACGTCATGATTTAAAGGTTGGATATTATTTAATTGAATATGTAAAATTTATTTAGTTGATTATGTATAAATATATAAATATATTAATGAAAATGTTCAAATATTTAAGGAGTCTAATAAAGAACGTTTATAAATTTTAAAAAATTAAAAATTTAATCAAAATTTTTACGTTTAAGAAAGTCATTTCCTATTAAGAAAATGTTAGTACAGAGAGTAACAAATACTTTTTTTTTAATTTTTTTTAGTACAGAGAGTAACAAATAAAATAGTAGTAATTTGTTCTCTTTATTTCATTAAACTTTGTAAATGGTCCAAAACTCAAATGAAAAACATTACAAAAAGGAAAATTAGAACACCTTATTGTTTTATTTGTAGTGAGAAGTAAATTCATTTCAAAAGTTATATAAAGCCCTGATTCCTTGAATATCATCCCCATGCAAACCCTTGCTTTGTCCAGGCATTATACTAGGGTACATGATGGCCCCTTCAATGGAACTGTGCCCTAAACCAAGAAGGTGTCCGATTTCATGCAATGCCACGGTCTCCAAATGATACGAACCCTGGTTCACAGCCACGGACCATTGTTCGTCCGCATCGTAGTGGAACCTCCCATCAGTTGGTCGAAAAGCATGAGCCAAGGTCCCACCACGTCCGTCGAAAGGGAACCCGTCTCCATGATCACCACCTTCGTAGCTAACCGTTATATCGGCATTTACATAGTCTTCAGTCCTCGAAAACCTGAAATGTGTATTCGCAGCCCATGTTTGAAAAGCTCTTAAAACCGGGTTAACGGCATCGGCTCGAGTCCCCGGAAGAAATGCATATGTTAGACTGTACTTCGAAGCTGGCCATTTTGGTTCTCCCGAAAAAAACGTATAATGCGATACCGTATGAATCGATTTCGACCCCGTTTTCGGCCGGACCGCATCCTGGAAGTTCCATTGATGACATCCGCAACCCCACATCGCGGCGATATCATCTTCGATACGGTATCGACATCCAACCTTCCGGTTGCTTTCAAATTATAATTCAGCTGATAAGTTCTAACGGCGGACTCTAGCAACTCATCGAAATCGTCGTCATCGGCATGAGTGCGGTTCTTATAACTCAAATACCCAAATTTTTCGAGGTACTTTTTGAGTTTATGCACGTCTTTAATGTTGTCTCCCTTATGACATCCTTGAAGATGTCGAAGAAAATCAAATGGTGATGTGATTTTGTGTTTCGAATCTGCAAAAGCAGCCTGAAAAATCAAGAAGAAAATGAGGGAAAATGAGAAGAAGAGAATAGATTTGGATCCCATGATCATATTATATAAATCAGTAGATCTTTAATGGTCGATGAAATTAGCACATATTGGTAGCCTATTTATACCCATATGATCTTTGAGTTTTTTTTTCGTTTGATAGTAATTAATTTAGGGTTTTACGAGGACTTGGCAAATGAGGACGCTCTTTAACGCGTGAAGAAAAAAATCTCAATTAGGAATTTACGAGGTATTGCACATGGTGTAAATGAAGA